AACGCACCCCCCCCCCCCCCCCCCCCAGTATGCCCATGCATGCGATTGCATTGCTCTTGACTGAGGCTGTTTCATTAATTTTTTGCATTATACATGTCTTTTAAAGTCAACAGCTTTATCCATTACACAAAGTGTTCATTGTAGTTACATGACATTCTAGACCATGGGTCATTACAACTCTGATCTGGTGTAATAAGCTTTCTGCTGCTGGTATTTGCAATTTTACTTTTCTTTTCCTGTGGAAGTCAACATTTTGATGTTATGGTATAAGTTCATATGCTTTTCATTGCCATCACTGCATTATAGTGATCAGTACTTCTCTATTATATGACAACATATTATATTTTTGCCTTAGCTTGGCCATAACCCTGAGCATCAAAGACAAATGAAGGTACCAGAGCTTCAGATGCAGGCAACACAAGGGAACAACCAAGGAATTCCTGCCTTCAATGGGTTGAGTTCTGCTTTTGCTAATCAGATGGCCACTACGCCAGTGCAGACATATCCAGGCCATCCCCAGCAGCAGCATCAAATATCCACACAACAGTCCAATATGTTGAGCAATCCTCATCATCCCAATCTTCATGGCTCCAACCATACTACAGGTTTACAGCAGCAAACATATGCAATGCACCCTGCTAAAGAAAGGCAAATGCAGCAGCTTGCTGCATCTAGTGCTTTGGTGCCCCATGCCCAACATCAATCCCAACTTCCCATAACATCATCTATACAAAGGAGTTCTCAGATTCCATCGCCAACTGCATCGCAGCCATTGTCACCACCCCCTAGAACTCCACCTTCCCCAGTGACTCCCATTTCAATGCAGCAGCAACAGCAGCAGAAACATAACTTGCCACATCATGCTGTCAGCTGGAATCCCCAAACTGGTTCCAGCGGGTTGACCAATCAGATGGGAAAGCAACGCCAACGGCAGCCACAGCAATTCCAACAATCTGCTCGGCATCACCCTCAACAACGACAACACTCACAGTCTCCACAGCAGGCTAAACTACTAGAGGGGATGGGAAGAGGGAACATGGTGGTGCACCAGAACCTCTTGATTGATCATTCTCCTTTGAATGGCCTTTCTGTTCCTCCAGGAAACCAAGGTGCAGAGAAAGGAGAGCAAATCATGCACTTGATGCAGGGTCCAGGCTTGTATTCTGGGGCTGGGTTAAGTCCAATTCAGTTGTCTAAACCACTGGTTTCTTCACAATCCCTGAACCATTCTCAGCCACAGCAAAAGTTATATTCTGGCTCAACGAACCCTTCGTCAAAACCACTTCAGAAAATGCCTTCCCATTTGGATAATAGTGTTCAAGGCCAGGTTCAACCAGTACTCTCTGGTCAAACACTAACGGCCACTCACCAAAACACTCCAGTTGTGGTCCCTAATCATCAGCATCTGCAACCACATCTACAGCCACACCAGAAGCAGGTTAGTCAACCTCAACCAGCTGTTCAGAGAATGCTTCAAAAGAATTGTCAGGTGAATTCTGATCTGGCAACTAAGCCTCAAAATCATCAAAGTCATACTGATCAGCAAACTCCAAACATCTCCCGGACAGGAACAAGAACATCCACAATGACGACCCAGGGCTGTAAAGATACAGCTAGTGTGGCACCAGTTGTCTCTTCTGCCTCTGCAATACAGTGGAAATCATCAGAACCACCCTTGCATGATTCTGGCATGGAAAATTCAGCCTCTCTGGAAGGTCCTATTGGTAGCCCAGCTCTTGCATGTGCAACTGGGAGTGAGCCAGCTGTCAGCCTAGGTTCAGTCCACAGGCAGTTATCAGGAGGTTTGCCCATGAATGGCCGTAATGGTGGAGCACAGTGGCAGCACAAACAACCACAACAATCAACAGCCTTACCACCCCCACACCAACTGTTGCAGCCACAAGAACAGAAGTCACAACAAGAACAACAACACTCACCTCAACAGCTGCCACCACAGCAGCCGTCTCAGCGGTAGACACAGCATCTTCAATCAGTACAAGGCAGTTTACATATCAGGCCAATCAATTCTAGTCTGGAATGGAGCATTTTGGTGGATTGTACAGTTCAGGGAGCAGTCAGTACTTCTGGGGTCGGGTTTGCATGCCCTTATGACAGCTGTGTACAGGTAGGTTTGGCTTCTCTTTTTTGCTTCCTACTCCTGAGTTAAAGCTGCAGATTCTGATCGACTCTGATAGGATATCATTGCTTTCACATTAACTTTTTGGTTTGTTACCATCAAGCAAAATTCTCTGATTCTACTAGCTGTATCCTATGATGTGGGCAGTTCAGTTGTTTCAGTTAAGATGAGCAGAGATTAATTGTCATGAATTTCATGCAGATGAAGCTGGTTACTTTGCAGCAGGGGCATTGCAAGATGAGAAGAGGTGGCTTGTCATTTCCAGATTCTGTTAGCAAAGAGATCTCTGCGGGCCATTTTTTTTTTCTTTTTGATTTATTGGGTTATTTGGGGAAATCATGTAAATTACCACCGTTGTAGAGCTTTGGGAAGGTGGAGACAGATATAGAGGTGTGTACAGGGTCTCATCTCCCCATTTCTTGTACTTCTTCTCCCCACCCTTTGTCTGGTTTCCCCACTTCTGTGCAGAGGGGGCCCGTTTATTTTTGTTTGTGTCCCAGTAGGCTAGTGCATGTATCATTCACACTTTCAGATTAAGTTTAGTTGCTCTCATTGTTATGGGCAAAGCCTTTGAGAAGTGTTGTGAATACACGGTCCACGCAATTAGAATGGCAATCACTCTCTGCCATGGCACCTATCAGCATACATGAACTTGCTTCTTCCATTTGCAGCAAGCCTTGATCCATCTCCTGCTGTACATATTCAACCTTGCGTTTCTGTTCATCAGAAGGCATAGCTTTGTTTTTTACACCCTTGATTACAACAATTGTGATCACCGAGGTTGCCTGCTGTAAATGGAAATGCAGTCTAAAGTGGTTTGCATTAAGAAATGCAAATCGCCTTCCCTTTCTTGTTCTTGGTTACTAGAGCAAGTTGTATTTGTACAGCACAAGCTAGGACATTCTTTGGCACCATCTTTTTGGAGTTTTGATACTGTTCCAAGTCCTTGTTTCCGAAATAGTTTTGGCGCCTTTCACTGTACAATGGTTAATTTTTGTCCTTAGTTTTTTATATTTATTTTCTTTCATTTGCTTTATTATTTTACTGCAACAGTGTACAATGATAATAATGATAATAATAATAATAATATTATGAATGAGCATGTGGGGGTTAAGTTCACGCCTGATGGGATTTATAATCCCCAGGGATTCTTATGCGCCTGAAAAACCCAATCCTCGTTGCTGGGATTGAAAACTAAAGGGTTTCGATGTCCTTCAGTTTGTCTGCTGGATGGCTCGCATGAAGTATGCTAGAAATTTAAAATTTAAAAGTATAATTATTGGATCCAAAAATGTTGTCCAGTTGTAATGTTAAATTCAACAATAATATTATAATATTAATTTTAATATTTAACTTGTCTACTAATTTTTTTAATTTTTTAATATTTCAAAAAAAATATGGTTTTTCTTCTATAATAATTTCTAAAAATTTATTATTGTTTTACACTTCAAATCAAATCTATGCTTATTTTCTAATATTGTTAATAATGTTTTTCAAATTTAATAATTATAATAAAAATAATTATATTTAAAAATATAAGACTCTAGAATCTTGAATCCTGATGCAAAACTTATTAGCTTTGGGTGCTCAAGCTGGATTTAAGAAAATTGGGTTTTGATACCAGACTGATAGAAATTGAAGTCTGACGCATGATCCATTAGCCTTGGGTCCTGATATTGGATTTAAGAGCATTAGGTCCTTTTAATTATAAAAAATAATAATATTTATAAGATAAATGATTATATTTTTTATATTAATACTTTTAATTTTAATAAAAATAATAATATTTAAAACAAAAAAATCTAAGACTTCAGAACCTTGGGTCATGATGCTTTACCCAAGAGAAATATAATGATAATAATAATAATATTTACGATATAAATAACGATATTTTTAATATAAATAACATTAATTGTAATAAAAATAACAATATTTATAAGACAAATAAGAATATTTTTAATTTATTCATTATTATATTGATAACATTAATTGTAATAAAAATAACAATATTTATAAGACAAATAAGAATATTTTTAATTTATTCATTATTATATTGATAATATTAATTATAATAAAAATGATAATCTTTATAATACAAATAAAAATATTTTTTATATTAATACTTTTACTTATAATTAAAGTCTTAGGTTCTGATGCCGGACTCAAGTAAGTTAAGTCTGATGTAGGAGCCATTAATCTTGGGTTTGGACCTAGAGCTTTTGGATCCCCAAACTTATTGAGTCTTGTTTTGTCTTAGGTTCTGACGCCAAACTCAAGTAAGTTAAATTCTCTTATATAATAAAAATATATAAAGTACATGACGTGAATAAAAAATTTATCAATCAACCTTAATATGATAATATTAAAGGAAAAAAATTATAAATTTTCAAAAAAATTTCAAAGAATTTTTGAAAAGAAAAAATAAACATGTCTTAATAGGGAAATTCAACACATCCTCAAATGAAAAAAAAACATTATGATCACCCAAATTTTAAACAATATAAAAAACTTCCATCAATTTATTTTCTCTTGACTATATATAAAAAAAATACATGAGAAAAAAGAAAAAAATAATTTTTTTTACTAGTGAGTCCTACTTGTAATAGGAGCCAAGGCTAATGGGTTCAGCGGTGGCTGAACCTAAAGCTATTTTGGGTCCCTCTAGGGGGAGGACCCAACTCGAATGGGTCATGCTAGGTAGGATCCAATTTTAATATATTTTCCTTATGGCTGTGCAGACAAACTCATTCTCAATATATTTAAAAACAAAATTAAAAAAGTACAAAAAAATAAAAGATATTAATTTGAAGTAAAGAAAACAATAAAAAATATTTAATTTATTTTCAAAATATTTTTGAAATGCAAAACAAAATATGCTTTAATAAGAAAATTTAACCCAACTTGAAATGAAAAAAAAAAAAACATCTCCCAACTTTTATATAATATAAAAAAGTCACATTAATTTATTTCCTCTTTACATTATGAAAAAAAATCAATAAGTGAAAAGGAAAAAAATAAAATTGGAAATAACTTAAAATAGTTTTTTAAAAATATATTGAGATAATATTTTTTATTTTTTAAAATCTATTTTTTATATAATCTCATCAAAATAACACAAAAACATCTTAATATGAATTAAGGAAAAAATATTAATTTGAATTAAAGAATAAATAATAATAATTAATTTTACTCTTTGATTAGTATTTCAAAGTATATTTTTATTAAGATTATATATGATCATTTTACACTTGAAGTATCAATGACTCTTTAACTAAAACATGTTTTATAATAACAAGTCTAATACTATAAGATACCTTTAATTTATGGTAAATATTCATCTTCAATGTAGGCCTATCACATAAATCAAGGGATTGATTGATGAGTTGAACTACTAAAATTGAGAAGATACAGTGGGTGAAGCTTAGAAAAGAGATGCTGGTTTAACCCAAACTGAAACATTAAGTTGTAGATTTTGAATTTAGGTATGCTCTATATGGATAAAAAACTAAGACATAGGACTAAAATATTTATGGAAAGGCAAAACTCAATTCTGCTGTTTGGAAGTCCAAATCTTAGTAACAACAAAGAAGTCTTAATTTGTCTTGCAGCCCGAATATTATTCAGTGTTGAGCTCATATCTCGAGTTCTAGAAGTCCAAATAACCTCAATTATTTTTTTTTTGGAAAGATGAGATAATTTCCTAGAACTTTCATGATTTAAGTTTGTTGAAATTCTAATGTTAGTAATAACCTTTTTGGTAAATAAGAAGATAAGGATTTCACCAAGTCAAGATGTGGCCATATACTCAACAATTAGTTAAAAAATCAATAGTTTTTAATTTTGGCCTATAAAAGAAGGCATTTGCCATCCATTTAGACATCTTGGTTTTCAGATCAAGATCATGTTCTTGCTCTCTTTTCATTGTAATGCTTAAGTTTAGCTTATATTGATCTCTTGTTTATACTTTTCATTTCATTTCCTTTACTTAGTTAACTTATATATTATTTATGTTCTTATCTTATTTATTTATGTTTCTCTTCTTTCATTATGTTTAGTTAAGTTTATTATGTTAAGGTGAAAAAGTTACACTAATGGTATAGGAATAAGTATAGTGTAAACTTAACATGCTTTTGCTTCGTTTCATTATATTTTTATAATTGTTAAGTTTTGCTTTCGTAATGTTTAAGTTTTGCTTTTATTAATATATTGTTTATGCTTTTCACTTCATTTCCTTTACATAGTTAACATATATCTAATCTATGTTTTTATCTTATTTATTCATGTTTCTCTTCTTTTATTATGTTTAGTTAAATTTATTATGTGAAGGTGAAAAGATTACACAATGGTATAATAATAAATATAGTGTAAATTCAACATGGACTTATATTTTTCCATCTTTTAAAAAAATTATGTTTTTCTTCTATGGTAGTAATATAGTTTTTAAAAAATCTGGTAATGACAATAATAATAATAACAATAGTAATAAGAATTCTTAATTTTACATTTTAAATTAAATCTATTATTCTTTTTCAATATTAATAATATTTTCTACAAATTTATTAATTATTATATAAATAATATTAATTATAATATTTCTAATACTAATACTTTTAATTATAATAAAAATAATAAAATTTAAAATAAAAATAATAATATTTATCATATTAATAATAGTATTGAACTTGTCTAGCAAAATCTTTAATAGTAATATTTTTTTTAATAATAATAAAACAATAGAAGTAATAATATATATATATATATATATTTCATTTTGCTTCTTTGTAGGTTTGTAGACCCAGTTGCCCAGGTTTACAAACCTAAGACATGGGTTAGAAGATACCCCAGTGTGCGGGTTTGCATCTTGCCCAAGTCTACAAAGTCAGGCACGTGAGGTTGTAGACCTTAAGTTCACAAGTCTAGAGACCCTAGGCATGCAGGTTTGTAGACCCATGCATGCGGGCTTGTAGACCTGCTTGTTGGGTCTTCAGTGAGGAATGTGGGTTTTCCAAGTGCCTAAGGCATGACAGTCCCAACACTAGGTGTCTGTAGCTTGGTGTTGCTGTCAAGCTTATCGGTTGGGGCTACAACTAGGCAATCATTCTTGGCCTTAGCACCCAATGCTTGGCAGGCGCCAGGTGTTTGCAGCCTGCGTCGTGCAGCCCTATCAAAATCCAAACTGATCATTTTCTTCTAAACAAAAAAGGCAACCCAACCCCCTTATAGACTTTGCAACTCTATGTGGCAAGGGTTGCCCTACCATTACGCCTTCCCAACCAACAATACTTTTAGCAAAGAGCAAACTCAAACGGTACAGTCCACAATGAAAGCACTCATAGTTTACAGTAACTCTCGCTATAGTGCTGAATAATGCAATTTACAGTGAAAGCACTCACAGTTCATAGTAATTCTCGTTACAATAAAATACTAATCCCTTTTAGTTATAGTTAATGCATATCGATTTGATTACGTGTGTTTTGTTTTCCTGATAGTTTCCTTCTTGAGAAAATGAACTTGAAAATAAAAATAGGTTTTCATGAAGTTAGATTAATAAGTTAAGGTTGTGCCATACCCTCTACCATGTCTTTCACATTGTATACTAAACCATATTTATCGATAAGGTTACCCAAGAGATGACTATTATTTTGAAATAAAAAAATTAATTTT